CTTCATTTCAGCGAGACCCGAGGTAGCCTTGCAGGCGTCCGCAGGCCCGGCGTCTCCTCTATCCTTTATTTTTATCTGTTATCTCATTGTAATCGAGACAAACAACTTATATTCTCTTTCAGACGTTGGTATGTAGTATTCTTAGCAGTTCGTCAGTACAGTGACACCAGTTTTGGGTAGAGGATTTTGTAGAACTTTTCGCATTTTTATTCAGTTTTATAAAATGTTAAGACTTCCGCTTATTATTGAATTTCGTTGTTTTTGTATTGTTGCCGTAAATTGTTAAATGGATTAGATTATTAAAGGGCAAGTAACTAAATTTGGCTTGCCTAGCTCTCATTAGTAGGCGCCATCACGACTCTCGAGGGTGGAAAATCCGGGTCGTGACATATATTAGAGATAATGTGAGGATATTTATAAATTATAAGTTTATAAAATAAAATAAATTAATATACAAACTTAAAATTAGAAAGGGAAAGGCTAATTGAATTTGAAATTAGAAAGTTGCTAAAATTAAATATACAATACTTAAAAAATTAGCAAAATTATGTTAAATTATTTAAAATGTACTATTAGAAATGAAAGGAAAAGGCTAATTGAATTTGAAATTAGAAAGTTGTTAAAACTATGATTAGAATGCTTAACCTATGGATACTATTGAAGTTTTATTTATGAAAAAAATAACTACAGTACAAAAAAAAATTCTAATATAAGCAATTATACTAATGAAAATTAAAAATTAAATTTGTATTAGAGCTAAAAAGAAAGAAAATTTACATAAGAAATAAACTGACAGTGAAAATACTACTACAACATTTAGATATAATGTGTTCAAACAACTAAGAAAATATTTTTTTACAATTAATATATGAATTGAGTGCATTTAGTATAAGTTTGAAAGCATAGCACATTTTTTTGAATCTGCGTTCCAATTTAGAAAATAGAATGATAAGAATTATTTGTAACTAAGATGAAAGTTTTTATTTTGAAAAATATTACGGAAAGAAATAAAATGAGAGTAAACATATTACTACATACATATAATATGTTCAAACAATTAAAAATTATTTTTCCAATATTAAATTAAATTTTAAGAATAAAAGATAACTTTCTAATATAGGTAATTTTATTAATGAATATTAAAAATTAAATTTATATCTTAAAGCTATAAAAAAGAAATTTAACTGCATCTAAATCAAAAATAAGTATAAGAGAACTCAATACATTTGTAACATAATCATCAAATAACTTATGTATTAATAGTTGAACCAACATCAATTTTATAATTTAAAATAAAAAATGATATTTTTTTGGTTATAGGTAAACAATTAATGTAAAAACTATTAAAATTCACAGTAGGGAAGAAAATGTATAAAAATAGAGATAGTGTAAGGATACTTATATATTAAATTAATTTAAAAATAAATAAGTTAAAAATTAAATTATATAGTATTTATAATATTACAATAAATTTAATTGATCAAAAAAATTCGAATAAGAGGATACAAGCATAAAAATATACCAAATTTCAACAATAAAACATTTTTATTTATTAAAGACTATTAAAAGAATAATAAATAAGACATTAATTTAATTATTAAGCTAATAAAATATTATATGATAGTATAAATTAAATAATAAATAATACAATAACTATAAGAAATAATAAAAGAAAAAAGAATTTGTGTATAATGTGATGAATGAGACATATTTAACTTTTAGATAAAAATAAAGTGATAGTAAGAAGTTTGTTAAAATAATATGATCTATTGTGCTCAAACAAGACAGATCACAACATTATATGTTTAGTATTCTTCAATATTGACAGCGAAACAAAATGCAAGATTAAAATCAAAGGGTTAGGTAAAAAAAAAGGTTATGCACTACAAGATTTGAACAATAACTTCGTATCCTACTTCGTAATTAATATATAATGTTATATAATTTTTATTTGAGATTTTTGTATTTTAAGATTATTTGCACATGATTCAAACAACATACATCACACTTTAATAGGCGGGTACTAATACTAGTTAATAATTAATGGATGTATATTTTCACCTTAATTTGTTATTTATTTATCGGTAATATAATACTGGAATAGAATTTGGCATAAACAAAGGTATATGTGTGTATGCGACGTGGTGTGTGTGTGTGTGTGATTGATGGGAGGTATGGGAGAGGAGAAGAGAGTGGTGTTGATGGGTTAGGAATTGGAGTTGCCGTTATGAACGAAGCCGCAGTTTAAGGAATGTAAAGTAACTGCTTTCCTTTGAACGTGTGAAGAGGTTTTCCCCATTCCACGATCGAAAACCATTCAGAGAAAAGAGAATACACAATACCCCCACCACCCCCACCCTCAATCCCAGAGAGGGAGATTGTTTTCTCTCTCTCTTCTGCGCTGTTCAGCTTAGGCCTTGTTGTTCTGTTTTGGCTTTTTGGAACCAAACTGCAGCCATGAACGACAAGGCTTCCGTTTCCAAGGAGCTTAATGCCAAACATGCAAAGGTATAGCCCCCTGTTTCTTACCTGCTGTCTATGTTGATTGTAAGCATTTCGTGTTTTTTGGTTTCTCGTCGTGTTCAATACCCGCATGGATTCCGGTTAATTCGGATTACTTTGCTTTTTCAAATAGCGTCGCTGTGCTGTACCATTGAGAGTAATATAATTTACGAGTAATACAATTGAATGCAATGCATTTACCAGCCCCGCGACTAATGTACAATCATAAGGAGAAGAGATTAAAATGTCCCCAATGTTATCATTACTTTTTGTCGATACTATCGATGATTTTGGATTAGTTATAATCTTTTATGATCAAAGAGAACAGATTTAATTCACTCATTCTGATAATTTCTCCTTTAAACAAGGTTATGCAATTGGCGCTAATTCATTCAGTAGTTAGCTTTTGCTCTATTGCTTAAAAGCTAATTAAAGACATTCTACTTGAAACTTTGTTATTCCAAAGAAGGTTTGAATAATATTGGCAATTTCTACTGGAGGAGAAAATAGACCTAAGGAAAGACTGTCTATTCATTACATTAAACATTGGTAGTAATGTCAATATACTAGCTCATAATGCTTTTCAGTTAGATATGTGCCTTGAATTCATTGTCACATTGCTCAAGATTTTACATGGAAAAAGCTTTGTTTTTAGTTGACAACGACATGCTTTGGTTAAGAAAAAAGTTTCTATTTGCAGTTCTGAAACTTGGTGTATATGGGTGCATCCCTCTGCCCTTCTCCACTTAGATACCAGACTTCTCCTTGCAGGATTTGAACGTGTGATGTGAGCCTATCCCAATGTTGTATACCACACATCCCAATGTTGTATATTTTTGTTGTGAACCAATGCCTTGGGGGCGAATAATGTTCGAGAATAATTCGACCATTGACAGTTAGTTTTAACAGTCAATATGAGCTATAGCTGTAAAACTACTATCAGATAGTCAAGGTTTCTGATAGAACTTGTTAGGTTGAATTGGCCAAAGTCGGTAATTGTGTTACAATACAATATAATAAGTATTTATCTCTTAGAGCAGTGAAATCTTAAAAGACTATCAGATATCATCAAAGAGATTCTTAATTACTATTACTGGATGAGTTGTTGTTCACTGACTGTAAGAAAGATTTTTGCAAAATCATCTCACTTAAAATAAAACAATTTTGTTGTTGTTGTGTCTGGCAGTGATCACACAAATATTAGTGTTTTACCAATCTAACAGTTAGTTCCTAATTTAACTTTAGGAACAACCTATTGTGACGTTTGTGATTTGATAGTATCAGCATTTACACTATATTAGCAAATTGAGAAAAATGACTAGAGTCAAAAAACATATACATCTAAACAATGGATTTGACTATAAACAAAAATTCACCTTAAGACAAGGTTAAAACTTAAAAGATATTGCTCCTAAGTCCATCTTGTCTTAATTCTATCAAACTTCATTTGCTCTTTCCCCTCCTCAGCACTTACCACCCTAGTAACTTTGTTGCCTGTCTGTTTTTTTCCTATTTAATAAAAAAATTGAACTAATATAGGCTAACTCTCCCTGATTAGGACCAATATATTTGTTCCAGAAGGTGATTAATAATTTCTGACAGGGCAAAGAAGCCAAGGAACCATCTTAGAATCCTTTTGTGGAGCTATAATGTGGTTTTGAGAAAACTTCCTACTCTTAAGAATTCAGTTTTATACCATTTTAATTTTATTAAATGTGCACTGTGGCAGCTTCAGAAATTTGATTAGTAGGATGAGCATTCATTTGTGAAAGCTATATTTGTTTTAGGCTTGTTACATAGCTTAGTTGGACAGGATCGTTCACATCCTTGATCTAACATGCCCCTTCCCTCAGCCCATCTTACTGGCAGAAAAGTTCATCATGTTTGAGATGGTGACATATCCTGAGATTGAAGACTCATAGGACAAGGTGGATTACCATGTTACACTGCATAGTTATCTTGTGTTAAGGGGTTTAATTTTTTGAAATTGCCCATGAACTAGTATGACAGATGCCACATAGCTTTTGTCATAACCAGATATACATTTTTTAAGAGGAAGAAAGTCTGAAGTAAGAAATTATATGCATATATAATTGGAAAGTCTGTTTGTTTGCAGAAGTCAAAGTTATATCCTTTTGAATCAAACTCTTTGTCACTAGTGATCTTTTTTCTTCAAATTGTTGGTACACTTGGCTTTTCTGCACTCTCATGTATGATTTTCTAGCTTAGTGTGTACCTTTCACTACTTGCAGATATTGGAGGGCCTTCTTAAGCTTCCAGAAAATAGGGAATGTGCAGATTGTCGGGGAAGGTGCGCTTTCTGCAACCAGTTTGCAGCTGTTAACTGTATATCATGACCATCTAGAATAGTAGTAGGTTATGCAAGGAGCTAGATGTGCACTTTCCACCTTGTTCACCGTCTATGTGATTCTCTTTCTTTGTACTGATTGTTCTGTCTCTGCATAGTCTTTCACGGTGTCCCTGTGGTAAAGCATATTCCTTTCATCCAACATGTTAGTCTAATCACTTTTTGATAGTTTCCGATATTTTGTATCAGGGCCCCAAGGTGGGCGAGCATCAACCTTGGGATATTCATCTGCTTGCAATGTTCAGGAATTCATCGGAGTCTTGGGGTGCATATCTCAAAGGTATACACTTTAGTTATCATTAACTACAGTTCTTAGTAATGCGTATAAATGAGCAAAATTACTCGACATGTTTTTTCGTTTTAAGTTTTACTGTTTGACTATCAAATGCATCCATCCTTTATTTAATAGCATTACAAATTCAACGCTAAAAGACTATCTGTAACAGGTGAAACACAGTTTCGATTCTGGGTGCTATTGAGTTTTTGCAAAACAATCTGAATGAGACATAGTTTGTTCCCAATAACTTAGTTTAGTGGTTTAAGGATGTATTTGAAGGGTTGTCGTGGAATTTGATAACGGCCACCTGAATACTAAGTGAGTAAAGTGAAAACTATAGGCCTTATGCAGCACTAAATGTAGGTTAAGATGGGAAGACTCAGATGGTGAAGCATAAATTAACTTCTGTTGCATAAAGGGCTATTATCTATTAACATTCTTGGGGACTATCTATTAGTGGAAGTGGCTTTCCCTGCTAAGGTAATTCTATTGTCTCATTACTTATCTACAAGGGGGAGAAGCAAAGATTACGACTTTCTGATGACTTCAAACACCTTTTCCCCGCCGTCTCTGAAGTTTGTAATACCTTCATAAGTAAGAAGTCGTAGCAGGTCTATTTTTACTGTTGTTTTCTGAATTTTCTTATTTTCTTATTCAATTAGTCCCTAAGTACACACTAGTGAAATATATGAAGCGATCAGTATGAAATGAACTGCTTTTTCTCCCAAGTTCTTTTTTTCCTTTAGTGAAATAATATTCAATGCTATCTTGTTAATAAAGTAGCCGGTTTCTTTAAGATATTCGTTTCTAGTTTTAGTGTTCCTGCCCTTGGAAAGAAATCTGAAGAGGGAAGGCCTACACACTATGAGCTTTTGATCACTTTAATTGTGTACAGAGAAAAAAAGTTATGCTTTTAAATGATAACGATGCTTCAGGTCAACTAAATTTATCACTGATTCTTTCCTCATGGAAATTTTAATGTTTCATGCTATCAGTGAATTTTAGTAAACCCTTACACCGGACTCCTCTTGAAATTTAAACATAGAGCTAATGACTATGCAAGGGTTATAGTCTCGGAACTGAATGTAAAATATTTTTCGAACTTGCTTGCCACTACGTCACTTTTCCGGTCTACGTAAAATAATAGTTGGCAAAATATCCATTTGTTTTTTGTCTTACTTTAGGAACAGTGCAAACCAATCAGATTGATTTGGGAGAAAAAAAAAATCTGTGGTTCAGGAAAATGGAGATTGGGTCATCTAGATGAGATGCTGCGTATATGTTGTTGACTTCAGTTTTTCTTCATTGAACCTTAACTTTTTCTGGAGAACTTTTTGAATGAAAATAGGGGAAAACCATTCTTGTCATTCGATAAACATTGTCTTCTGTCGTGATTTTCTCAAACAACAAAAGCAATATATACATGACACTGCTACAACAAACAAGTGTTCTGTTCCTGAAAATTTCCATCTTATTGCTGCATAAAAACACACCTCAACTTCACTGAATTAAAGAATTTCTAATGATTACGTTTGAATTGTCCAAGTAAATATAGAAAAGATAAAGATGGCACTGTCCTTGACATTCTATCCCTGAAGTCCTCAGTTTATGCCTTTACCTTTTTATTTGTATATATGCAATCGTGGAGTTGAGTCCAGTTCCAGAAGGTCGCTCAGCTTTTTCTGAATACATCAAAGAAAGCACACACAGACTTTTGGATATAGACTTGAATGCTTAATCTTCTTTGCTAATGGCTATCATGCCTCTTGCTTGTGATAGGTAAGGTCGACAACTTTGGATACTTGGCTGCCGGAGCAGGTTGCTTTCATGCAATGTACCTCTCTCTCTCTCTCTCTCTCTCTCTCTCTCTCTCTCTCTCTCTCTCTCTCTCTCTCTCTCTCTCTTCCATGCATGCCACACATGCACACATGTATAAAAAAACTTTAGGTATTAAAGATTGTCACTACTTTATTATCAAAATGAACGTAGTCGCTCCTCTACTTCCCCAACCGAATAGAAACGTTTCATGAATCCTTTGAGTATGCTATACAGCTCTCATCCTTATGGCATTTCATAGTTAGCAGAAGGCTACTAATCTTCATTCAATTACTAACTAGGTCAGAGTTGTTGACATCTCAGAATGTGGACTTTGGGCGAGCTTTTGTCTCTGGAGGAGAAAAGGACGGTGGAAGTGGGAATGAGGAATAGTAGTAAAGGCTAGTTGTTTTTGTACATCTGTTGTTGAAAAACTTTCGTGAAATTCTGTTCAGTGAAACTTTGTTCCTCATCCTCCACTTTTGTGTGAACATATTGAAAACATTCCACAATTAATTTTTCAGTGGACAAGGAAGCCTAATTGAGGTGGTTCTTAGGCAAAAAAAAAGGAAAAACTAGTCTGAATAATTGGGAAAACAGAAACTCCCTCTTCCTAATTTACATGACATTTTATCTATTTTGGGATGTGCGGAAATATTTTATGGAATTCATATTTTATACAATTTTGACAAGAAAATCATTGCTTTATGCAATCTAACTATTCAACGATCAATGTTATACTATTTCAACTGTCACCGCTATGATATATAAGTTGAATTGTAACATCCATAATTTTGTTCTCAGTCAAATACCATCACGAAAGTGGACAAGAACAAGAAGTTCTTCGCAAGGAGGTCCTCTTTTTGTTGTGTGCTTGGGGTAGGGGTGGGCGAGCTACTATTTTTTCCCCCTAGTATTGAGAGTGTTCTCCAGTTGAAAACTTTTCCTAAGAAGCTTATAGAACAAGACACAAGAAACTCCGTAAAAATCATGGAGTAAATGTTTTTCTTCATTCCAAGTAGAGCCCTCTTATGTGCCATACTGCCATTTGCCTTTGATATTCTGGTTATCTTTTCCCCTTAAATTTCTTATACTTCTGAAGATATTTAGGAGGCTAACAAGGAAAATTATTGGTCCATGTTTTAATGTGCAGGTGTAGGTAATGAGAAGTCGAACAATTATTGGGAGGCAGATCTACCAGCAAGCACAGATAGAAGCGACATTGCAAAATTTATTCGGACCAAGTAATTCTGCACAAAAACTTATGTTATGTACTCGCATGTTTTTATCAATGAAAGCTACATGACTGTTCCCTTTACATATTTCATTCTGACTCCAGGTATCAGGAGAAAAAATGGGCTTCTAGATATGCCTCTCAACCAGCCCCATCTAATATGGTTGCTGAAACAAGCGAATTTGGAGCAACAGCTGATATTCCAAGGAAAGCAAGAAAATATTCCTTGGAGGAAGAAGTTTTTAATGAACAACAGCCACAAGTTCCTTCAACTACAAGATCTCGTGGGGTACTGAAGATATTGTACTTTGTTTACATGTTTTTACTTTGGAAGCAAATTTCTTTTTAGGTTTTAACTAACAGGAATATGCCTTTGCCTACTTATTTATCTTTTATAATTCGGTTAACAATCTCTTCATTATGTGCTATACTCTTTGGCAAGTCGTATAGCCAAATGCATTAGCTGATACTAAGTTTTCTTGGTAAACTACATTTTTTTCCTGGACTTTTTCATTGTCAAGCATGGCTCAGAAAAACGTTATCTTAAGAAATACTCGTATTTTCTCAGGTTTCTTTGGACACGATGGATGAAATTCTTAATTTACCTCCAAAAAACAGTCTCATCAGTAACCCATCTGTGAAGAAAAAGGATGATACAAAGGATCTCTTCACTTTGCTCTATGCCTCAGAGGCAAAGCAAGATCGCACTATTGTGCCTCCATCTCGCTGGGCAACCTTTGAGTGTAAGTACACTCTTTGCTAAATGACTTTTTGAATTACTTGTACAAGTTTATGAATTATGAAGCAGTTAAAAGATTTGTTATACAGGTAAAGTGTTAACATAGATCTACTTTTCAGTTGGTTGAATCTTCAAGAACTAGAAAGTTCTTACATTCAACCATGAAAATAAACTTGTGTTCTACTGCTTCCTGGCTATACCTCTATGGTATCCAGCTGTTATGTAGTAAATAGTGCTTTGCCTTATAAAGGTCAGCTTTTATTAATATGAGATACCAACCTGTGAATTGATTTTTTTTCTTTGGATATAGGAGCTGATGAGACCAAGAGAAGAACCAGTTGGGAATGATATTCTAGCACTTTTTTGCAATGGATTAGAGTTCATGGATGATAAGTCAAGAAAAAAGCTGCACTTCAACACGTAAGCACATGTGTTGCGTATTTTATTTTGTTGTCTCATTCAACCGGCACTGGTGAAGATAAAAGAGTTGATGTTTCTTGTGTAACTAGATGGCTCACCGAGTGCTTTGCGAGATACAATTTCCATTTGGTGCCCATTCATGAATCAGAATTTCATTCTTTTTGTATTGAATTCCGTTCCTTCCTCTAAACCTAGTTCCTATTAAAATTTACACCCAAGCTTGAAGGTGGCCTCTTGTATATTTAATGCGCTCATGTAATTGAATCCAGTTTGACATACATTAATAATAACTTTAGGCAGATACCGTTCTAATATTGGATTTCTCTTCAGGCATAATCAACTGCATTCTTAATCATGATTGCTATAAGGGGATGTCATTGATGCTGCATTACTAAATATTCCTTTGCATTCCTGTATCATTTCGTACTCTTTGATGAACACATATCTTTTCTGTTTATTCCATCCGATTCTCTGACTTGTGAAAGGAGATAGGACCAGCATTCATTAGTCAGGATGCTCATTTTGTGACTCATCTTCTGAACAAGATCATATAACTTAGACTTCGAGATTTTTGGAGCGAGCACGGTATATTTAGTTTAGGATTTAATTTGACAAAAAAGTTGCTAGAGAAAAAGTAAATCTTGGAAGCAGAATCCTACTCTTTCTAAAACTGTGTTTAAGTAGAACTTTTGCAAGAAAAGAAAGGAAGCTTTGTTTAAGTCAAACTTAAGAAAGAAAAGAGAAGAGTCCTCTTTCCTTTCTAGAGATGGTCAGGATCTGAGACGAGAAGCGAAGAAATTGGAAAGCCATCGATCAATTACCGGACCAAACTAGATTATTCCCTTTGCTCTACCTACTAGACACTTTCTGTGATACTGATTTATTCTCTATATTAAGAACCCCCATATCTTGATGTCAAGATACACTTAAGTTTCTAACAGAACACATTGTTTATTTTAATTGGCATAGCAATGTGAATTCTTGGGTGGTCTGTGAAATCTTCATTTAACCTTAAAATTGCTAGGGTGATCGAATGGCAAGTCTATGATGAACAGATACCTCTGTGTTTCTCAGTTTCTCTTGAAAGGCAAAATGAATGTCTTATTCATCACAGTTATTATTGAAAATCATCTTCAGGTAGGAGAAATTTGATTGTTGGCTATTCACATTTGCATGGATCAGATCAAGTAACACTTTAAGTTTATCTTTTAATAATATAACCCAAGAATTAGAGATTTAGAGTACAGTTCATAAGCCATAGCAAGGATTGGACGATCATTCAGATTCTCCATACGATAGCTTGCACTCTTGATGGAACCTTTAGTAAGTAAAGAAGTGCAAAAATCGGATTTTAAGTCATGTGTGCACTTCAAATCTCTGGAACAATCTAGGAGATGACTTAGATTAGAACTTTTAGGAAAAACATCATTTTGGGTTTCAGTACTTAGCATTTATCAGTATTGTCCAATTGTAACTAGCAAATATGTTTGGCATGAATCAACACCTCTCCAGGTATCAGGATCCTGGAGCTGGTTGGCTGGCCACTCTCTACATTCATATTCTAGAGGAGCTAATTCATCATACTAGAATGTCTTGGTTCACTTCACATGCAGTAATCAGTCAAGACTACAGATATAGCTTCACATCTTTCTTTCATTTTAATTCAGCGATACTGCGCTATGCAGTAAGCACCAGGATTTCTTCTGTACGATGTCAATCAGAAAGAATAACTTCATTTTGTTCCATCTTTGGATTCTTATAATTACCTTTGAGAGGAAAGGAGTTTTGGTATGTTTTCCTGAAAAGTTCACATGGACCATATTGCTTTAATTTTTCTTTCACTTGCTGAGTTGCAATATGCTGAGTATCCTTCTTGTTTTCCTTCAGAAAGAATTCTTTTGCAATTTTCTTCTATTTATATCTTTGCTGTAATTCTTAGCAGGAGGGGCCTCTTTTACTTGTGAAGATTTGCTGGGATTGTTTACTGGGAGGGAATAGTCTCAATCCATTGTTATTAGTTTTCATGGGTCAAGCAACATGTAGAGAGTTAATACTAGTTGTGTGCAATATGATTTAAAATTTAAAGAGTTGGCAACTGGATTCTACCACCACTTGTATCTTAAAGACTAATGTATGGATCATTTATTTTTTGTTTATAGAAAGTGATTTCCTTCATATAATACAATCTATGTTGATCCATTTTTGTTTCTTTTTATCTTCCATTGTTTGTTTACTGTTCTTACCTATAACTGAAAGAAAATGAAAGAATTCTTCCCCTTCATCCCAGAAACATCCAACTATCGCAGCGTTATTTTTCTTCTTCCTGCAGACTGTATACACACACGTATGTGCCTGCGCGCGCACACACACATACTTATATAATACATATAATATATCCACCTTGAACTGATTTGACTACTATAAATTCAATGGATTCAACTCCAAAGTAGTAAGCTTGGACTGGAAGTCTTTAAATGAGAAATAGTTTTTTTTTGGTAAATTAATTATTAATAGGATTAGGTGAGTTGCTGAAGATGTTTGAATGAATCAATTTGACATGCATATATGATGTGTGAGTGATTTGTGTTTGGTCTCTAAATCTCTGCTCTGGGGCCACTAACTTGTATTATCACTCATTATTAATACTTCAAATTGAGTTAACAATTGACGTTTCAACAAATTTCTTCCCCCTTTTCCCTTTCCAAGCAATTAGGAAAACATAACGATGTTTCCAACGCTATTTTTAATCCCAAAGAAAGAATCTAGCTTGATTTCTGGTGTATTGTTTGTCTGCAAAATACGATCTAAGGATCACCTACTTAACTAAAATGTACAATATTCCTGTTAATATATTAATATACAAGCCAATAAGGGTCATCCAAGCATTTAAAACTCAAGTAATGTTACATTAAGTCTTAGATAAAACACGCTTATATTTGTTTAATCCTGTTTTCTGTAAGCTTCTCATTTGATTGAGACTAGTATTTGACTAAGTATGCTGGAAAAGAGATAAAGGGCATATATCGTTATTATTTATATATTATATATAAATAAAGGTGTTTTTGGAAGCGTGATATATTTAATCTAAATACATATGATATTGAGACGTAGTTGATTGGTTAACATTACACTTCATTTCTTATAGAAATTAAAAAAATTAAGGTCTCTATCACCAAGCAAGATCATGTGCGTAGTGATTTTCTTTCAAGATGTGAATTCATTTGTTTATTTGAAGTTTCAAATACTTTTCCTAGTTCCATTCAAATGACAACACGTTAAACCTAATGTTCCTATAATCAATAAAAACAGGATTTTTTTTCTTTAAATATCTACCAGAATTTTTATCCACCTTTACCAAAATATTTTTTTGCGCCGCTCACGATTCATGTCAAATTTCCCATTTCGATATGTGTTTATTTTATTAAATAGATATTGAAAAGGCTAAGGTACAATCATATATATCCTTTGCTTTTTCTTTATTTCTCCCTTTTGACTAGCGTCAATTATGATCTTTAATAATGTATGTACTAGTTAGTACATAATTCATAAACTACTTTCTCTGGTTTTCTTGCTGCTCCAATTTATTTATTTCCTGATAATGCAAATCAGGTAAGCCGGGCTGCTCTTTGTTGCTAGCACATGTGCTAGGCCCCAAAGACAAATAGATTGGACTAGTTCATTTTTTTTACAAGTGGTAATTGAAAAATAGTCATAGTTTCAGAAGTAATCGAAATTTAGTCACTTTTCATGTAAAGATAAATCTGAACGAAAACAATGTTCAAAATTTGCAAAAAAATATTCCAGCATAATAGACTGGAGTTCAATTTTTTTTACATGTAAATGTCCAGCATAATATACTGGAGGTGCAACACAATATACTGGTCCAGCATAATATGCTGAAAGTTCATACACATGTGTTCCAATCTCTAGTATATTATGCTGGAACTTTCCGTGTGCTGGAGTTCCAGAATAATATGCTGGATGTTCATACACATGTGCACCAATCTCTAGTATATTATGCTGGCGTGTTGCAGCAAAATAGTGGCTATTTTTCAATGACTTTACAAACGCGGGCTATTTTTCAATGACTTTACACACACGGGCTATTTTTCAACTACTAATCCGAAAACTGGCTAGCCCGTGCTATTTTCACTCTTTTTTTTTTAACGTTTTTATTGAAGAAAATACGAAAACTCAATTAAGTCCAATTATTCATGGGGTTTACTTTAGTTTTCTAACAGATACATATGTAGCATTTGTATCATCCGACTTTTCAACCCGCTTACCGATGATTTAGTTCCTTTTTTTTTTTTTCAATTCAATGATTTAGCATCAATCTATCAAGTTCTCCATTTAGCTTTTTTTTTTTTTTTTTCCTTTTAAAATATGATATCCTTTAATTATTTCTTTTTCATATTCAATGGTTTTCTCACTGATACTGCATCATTCAAAAGTAACGTGAAACTTTGCTTGTCACTACTAGAAAGACGCAAAAAAATCGACCAAAATTTTTCGATCAACGTTGGTCGGTCCAAAAAAGCGATCAAAAGCCGTCCAGCTTGGACGGAAACTAGAAAAAAATATTTTATATTTATTTTTAAAAAAATACCGATCAAAGTTGGTCGGTAAATTGGTCAACAAGTTGACCGAGCTGGTCAGACTTGCTTAATCAAAGAAACTTTCACATTACCGACTAACTTTGGTCGGTAATGTGGACCCAATTTTTTAAATTTTAATAGCTATATTATTATTTAAAATATTTTATAAAATTTAAAGAATTTATATTTAAAATTACCGACCAACGTTGGTCGGTTAATGCTGGGGAAGCATTTACCGACTAACTTTGGTCGGTATATTTTAATTTCTGGAAAATAACCGACCAACGACTAACTTTGGTCGGTATATTTTAATTTCTGGAAAATGACCGACCAAAGTTGGTCGGTTATTAGGTCAACATTGGTCAAAATTATGAATCACTTTTATATTTACTATCTAAATAATATAAATGTAATCCGTTAACACTTTTGTAATACAAATAATTAATACACTAACATATACTATAACATGCTATATATGTAGTTAAAGTAGTACAACGAAGCGTGTGTTTTATATANTTTTATTTTTAATATTCCACGATGTATCTAAGTAAGTTATAAGTCGATGAATCAATTTACAAATAGATATATTTGATGATAAATTATATATATACTAATTAGGATCTTCACAAGTCTACCCCTAAAAGAACCCGTGATCGTTCTTCCCGTCCTCCACAAGACCCTTCTCTATATCGTCTTATAGATGAAAGTTCATCAGACGGTGATAATGATGTTGTACAAAACACCCCTTGATTTTATATGCTTTGAACTAGACAATGAACCAGTTTTGAACTTGTTGTAGTTAGTTTTAACTTGGTTTTGGATTGTTATGTTCAATTGAACTTTAATTTGTTAGTTTTATTTATTGAATGTTTGGTTGTTGTTGTTGTTGTGTTGTTGTTGTTGTTGTTGTTATTGTTGTTGTTGTTGTTGTTCTGTTGTTGTTGTTGTTGTTGTATTGGTATGCTGGCAGGTGGTGTAGCTACCAAAACAGGCATTTTATGCCAAAATTAAACCCAGAAAAACCGACCAAAGTTGGTCGGTTTCTAATAAATAAAAAACTGCAAATTACCGACCAAAGTTGGTCGGTATTCATTAAAAAAAAAATAATTGACTATTACCGACCAAAGTTAGTCGGTTAATGAACAAGCAATTCCCAAAATTCAACATTACCGACCAACTTTGGCCGGTGTTGTTAAATTTTAATTATTTTTAAAAAAAATATATTTTCAGTTACCGACCAACTTTGGTCGGTTTTTTTTTTTTAATTTTAACAATTAATAAAAAAACATAACTTAAATACACCGATTTCTAGTTGGTCGATTTTTTCGGTCGGTATTTAGCGGATTCCTAGTAGTGTGTGTTTTTAGTATATATAATCAAAAGCTCAAACTTGTGAAAATAATTACAGTAATAAAATTATAAAATTTTAAAAAATCTTTTTGTTTACATTAAAATTTTCCAAATTGACCGATTCGCTGGTTGACAAAGAACAAGAAGCCATATGTTGAGAGATTGCACACTAACGCTACTATATATCAGTAACATATAGTTACCTAGGTTTAACGATTACATAAATAGCAACTTAATTAATTTTACCCCATTAATTTTTGCATGACGACAGGAGACCATTATGGACTCTTGTATTCCACTGACTAAAGACTAGCCCAATTAATCACATGTTTTAGCCTTTAATCTTGGATATGAACGTCAAAACTATAAAAAAAAAATGATTGAAGAGGGCAAACCAAGATGTAAACTATGTTCAATATCTTATTAGAATTCGATTTTTTGTTTGAATTTTGATCACCACTACATTATACTCGCTCGCTCTGAATTAATTAAACAAAGTTTTCCCTAGGTACTCGAGTCCTCTTTTTGAAGCAAAATATAATGTCTGAGTTTATGGGGAGGTGAGGGGGAGGAAATGATAGATGATCAAGGTTTGCATTGGTATTCAAGTATGTCCTCCCCCCTAAGGGTGTGGCGTGGTCAATGAAGTGACTTGAGAACCCGAGGTTGCAGGTTCAAATACCCGTAGAGACAAAAATATTAGATTTTTTTTTTATTTGTCCAAACTTTGGTGAATAGAGTTACCTGGTACCTGTTACTGGTGGGATGTATTAGGTATCCCGTAAAATTGGCTGAGGTATGTGCAAGTTAGTCCGGATACCATGGTTATAAAAAAAAGTATGTCCTCCCAACTATAAATTCTTGAAAAATTGAGGCCCTCCTAAAGCAAATAAATCTTTAAAGACAAGCAACAAAACACTACAAATACAAAAAAGATGCATTTTTGCCTCCCTAATTGGGGACTTTTGACTCTCAACTCCGATGGACCCATTATTAAAGGTTTCTCTCTTTAGTGAAAAATGAAAACACATTTTCTTAATATAGCCATGGAAAGCGATGGTAGCGCCGTCGAGTGGAACCCCACAACCACCACCGCCTCCTATACCCACGCCTATAGCCTTTTTGTCCTTGAATTATGCCATTAAAAAATGTATTATCTATATTGGTGGGGATTGATTAATTAATTTTATCCATCATATTCTATAGTGACTCTTTTGTGTCTCTTTT